GGGAGCGGTGGCGGCTTTGGGCACAATGTGGTTGGGCTGCAGTGGCCTTTGGGTTTCTTTCTGCCTTTGTTTTGCCAGGTCTGCTGGGGAGATCGTGTGACACATCTCCTGCATCACAAAGAACTGTCCAGCTGGCCCCGAAGATTTAGGATCTGAAGGTATCTTAGGAGGCGTGTTACTGTCTCCCTGCCATTGGTAAGCATTGCCCAGCAGTGTGCGTGGCACTCGGGGCATGAAAGGACAAACTAGTGTTTGGATTCTCCCCTTAGTGGTGGTTGCTTAATGAGATTTAGGTCAGTTATACTGGAGTTTAGAGGAGAGACAGATAAATAGTGGAGAAGTTGATTGGGAAGTATCTCCAATACTCTCTTAGCATGAAGTGGGATCCAGTGTACTTAAACTTGGCCCTCACAAACATTTATTTCTTAAACGTTATTAAATTCATGGAGTGCCTTCTCTCTCCAAGGTAACCTGCTTCAACACTTTGATATCTTTTATAGTAGGAATTTTTCCTTAATAGCTGACCTAGACCTTTGTTGAAGCTAAGCTGATTATTATCTTGCATTATCTTGAGTGGAGATAGAGAACAATGGATCAGTATTCTCTAGTCAGCAGACAAGTGGGTGTTTGCTAGTTTACACTCACAACCTTCATCAAACTGAGTGAACCCACTTCTCATGTTTTCCTGGTCCCTGAGCTCTGTTACGTGTTTCCATCATCCTTGGACTGTTAAACTTGAAACTAGGCTCAGCATTCCAGTGGATCTACTCTTAGCTCTGAGGCTATGGGATGATTATCTCCCTCGTGTATGGCACCCTTAAAAACATTCTAGAATGTCTTATTTGGCAGCATTCTCACATCAGTGAAACATTCAGTTTCTGATCCACTGTAAGCCAGATCATTTTGTGCTATACTGCTACCCAGGAAGTTATTCCTGCAGAGCTATCCATGGTTTAGGGCTTTTTTGTTTGTTTACTAAGTGCATTACTTCACACTTGTTATTTGTTTGAGAAGAAGTTACCTTGATGATCATAACATAACTTTTTCTCTCTGCTTTTCAAATCTTCCTCCCAAGTTTGGGGTCATCTCTAAATAGTTCATTAAAATGTTGAGTGGTGCCACAGGCTGCACGTTGTGATAAACCCTGACAGTTTGACTTTCTCACACACTTTTTTGTTTTTCATGTTCACTACTAAAGCTGCAACTCATTCTATGCCATGGCTTTGCAGCTGAGCCAAATTCTACAGAGAATCTTAAGTGAGGAAACCATCAATTCTTTAGAACTGGCTTCTGTGCACAGTCTAGGGATCATTCACAGCTCAGAAATTAGAAATGTGTGCCAAATTCTAAATCCTTCTGAAGTTTTGGTGCCTTGTGTGTGGATTGTGGATGTCCCAAACACCTGATTACAGGTTATGGAGATGAATGACTACTGGCAGTTTCCCATTCTCCCTCTTGAAGCTGTTGCTCTGTGTAGAGAGAACTGAAAAGGCTTCTCCTGAGACACCAGGCAAATGATGTGACCCCTTCTCCAAAAATAGCAGAACAAAGGTTTTCTCTGGTTTTATTTCCTTCCTATAAAATAGTAATTTTTACTTTGCAGGACACTATGAAAATAAGTACTCCTAAAGCAATAACCAAAAGTTAGAAATGTCCCCAGAATTACTGCAGATATTAAACACACACACACAAAAAATTTTAAAACCTATGTATATTTTTCTGTGGCTATTTCACCAGCTGCCTACTGCTTTCATCCCTTCTACCCAGTGAACAGTAGTGAGCTCTAAGGTGGTTTGTGAACTTTGACAAAGAGGTGCTGAATCACTTAGGGGAAAAAAAAAACAAACCCTGCATTAAAATCAAATCCCTGATATTGAAGACTGTGAGTCAGCCATACCCTGTCGTACTGTGGCTCATGCCTGAGGTAGATGGGTCTGTCCCTCTTCTTTGTTGTAAGTTCTTTTAAATTCTTTTCTCATTTCCTCAGAAAAATCTGCCTCGGTTCCAACTTTTCTTCAAAGTTGTACTTGCTTTTTTTTTCAGAGGGCATTCTGGAATAACCATACAAACACCTCGTTCTTACCCACTTAATACAGGATCAGATTTATAGATAACACATTAATGCTTGGATGGACTTGTAAGGGATTACTTCATCTGGTCACAAATGGCCCATGAAGCTGAGAGTGAGAGGAGATATTTTCAAAATCTAGAAATACTGAAGTCATTTGAAAAATATTCTGGGAAGCAGCAACCTGTCGATGAGAATGAAAGGACTGGTCTTGTGATGAAAATGCAGCAGGCCAAGCCTATGTAAACAGCAAAGTTTCTTTCTGTTAAAATTGCATTTTGCTGTGGAAACATCATAGGCAAAGAAAATCTAGGACATAGATGAGAATTCTGTGCATACTGACTGCACTGGAGGGAAGAGTCCAGCGTAGGCAGGGTCATAACCTAAATAACAGCACAGGAATTGTCCTCTATCCTCTACCGTAATTTTTTTTCTTTTCATTCTGATTTTTTTTAGATGTCTCAGGTTAAAAATCATGGAGCTGGGGAAGGCGAAGCTCCTGAGAACTGGCCTGAATGCCCTACAGCAGGCGATGCACCCGCTGCACGGGCTTGCCTGGACAGATGGGAAGCAGGTGATCCTGACTGCCCTGTACCTGCACGACGGAGAGCCGAGGTTTGGGGACTCCAGCGTCGTCGGCCAGTTTGAACACGTCCATGGACTCTACTGGGGCCCGTGTCCCCCCGATGCCCCAGCCCTGCTGGCTGTTCAGCACAAAAAGCACATCACCATCTGGCAGCTCTGTTTCAGTGTCACCGAGAGAAATAAGCTGCTGGTGTCTCAGGTCTGCGACGTCAGCGAGCCGTTCCCGGTGCTCCCCCAAGGCTGCGTGTGGCACCCCAAGAAGGAGATCCTGGCCGTGCTGACCACGCGGGACGCCTCGGTCTTACACTCTGTGCACCTCAACAACTCCAGAATTAAGGCAGACATTAAAGGCAGCGGCCTCATCCACTGTGCTTGCTGGACCAAGGAAGGCGACCGCTTAGTGGTGGGAGTAGGCAGCGCCCTGCATTCTTATCTTTGGGATGATGCTCAGAAAACACTGAACCCCTGTTCTTTTTGCCCAGTCTTTGATGTGGGAGGCTACATCTGTGCTCTGGAAGCTACTCTCAATTTCCAAGTAGCCGTTGCCACCGAGCTTCCTCTAGACAAGATCTGTGGCTTAAATGCTGGTGTGGCATTTGAAGTTCCAGCGAGCGTTGAAACCGAGTCCTTCCCCTCGCAGTCCAGCTTGTGTGGTGAGGAAGAGTATTCCAGGGATGGGGGCAGGAAGTCACTGGACTCTGAGAGGTCCTTGACTGCTGTGACATCTCCTGTGGATCTAACTCACATCCTTTCTAGCAAGCAGGGTGCTGATTCCAGCCCTCTTCTTCACCTGAGGCCCAAGGACTACCTCACGGGAAGCGGCCAAGACTCTTCACATCTCATCCTGGTGACTTTTGAAAGAAAGGTTACCTCTACCAAAAAAGTTAGCATCCCAGGCATCCTGGTTCCTGACATAATGGCTTTTGACCCCAAAACTCAAACTGTGTTGGTTGCCTCCAATACCTGCAACATTATTTTAGTCTATTCACTCACTTCATCGAATTTGCCCAACGTTCAACAAATTGAGCTAGAGAAAAATGAGAAACCAAAGGGTTTGTGCTTCTTGACCAATAAATTGTTACTGATACTGGTTGGAAGACAAAAATTCACAGACCCTGCCTTTCTTCCCTCTTCAAGGTCGGACAAGTACATGATCCGGTTGATGATCAAGGAACTGCTGTTTGAAACGGGTCCCTCAGCGCCTGCACCTGTCAGGGGGAGCTCCAGTCTGAGCCTCTCAAGCTCACCTCGTGATCTGTGTGCAGATGCTCACCCTCTCAGCCATGGACTCTTGATACCAGACCGTGCTGCCCTTCTCTCCCCTATCAGCAGAAGGAAACTCATTGAAGAAATTAAGAGTCCTGTTTATGAACAGAGCTGCTTGTTAAACATTGGTGACCTCAAAGATAAAAAGGTTTCCATGAATTTCCCCCCAGCTGTTGAGTCTCTTGATGCTGAACCAGTTCCTTGGACCGTGGCACCACCTGCCACCTCACTGCCATGTTCTAACAAGCCAGCATCGCCAAAGAGGCAGGCAGATGCAGCTTCCAAAATACCCAATTCGTACAAGAATAACCTGTTAAGTGAAAAGGAGAGAAGTTACTGTTTTAAAAATGTGGAAAAACTATCTGGGAACTTCACAGAATTACAGCATCAACTCTGTGAATTAACCGAGCTGTTAAAATCTGGGAAGAGAAATCTGAGCGCGTACCCGTCTTCTCAGGAACCTTCTTTTGTTTACATCACCTGCCAGGTAATTTTAACATTGGAAACCTTAATGATAAGATCTGTTTATGGATTTATGTTCTTTGTAGGGATTTAAAACACGAGCTGTTGTCAGATTACGTGCAGGAGTGATGACATGCCCTGAGTGGTTAGGACGTGCAGGTTCGGATTGTAGGAATGGTCTCGCGGGGTGAATCCAACATGAATATTAGGTTTTATTTAGGCTTTATGTAAGCTTGGCTTGCTTGTCTTCTTTCCTCCTTTAATTGCACCTCAGTTTTTCCTAGGCAATATCTGAAGCTTTCTGTTTAGAAATTTAGATAAGTGAAAATTTCCATGCATGGGAATTGGCATCAAGCTCCCATCCTCCTGTGAGGACAACTGAAATAATGGAGGCTAAAACGGGAAAAGAAAAATGCTTTGGCACTGAAGCTGAAGTGTTGCTAATTAGTATTGAGAGGCTCATCTGAGAAGGCAAGAGGCCCTTAGGGACACAGTTGGTGAATCCACTAACATAGCTTAAAAAATGGATTTAAAATCAAATCTGATTTGAAAGACACTTTCCTTGGCTGAAAAAAGGCATTTCCAAATCTCATGCAGGAAAGTGTAAGTTACCTGATTCTCAACACATGACACAAACCCACTAGGTTTCTTCTAGAATTCAGATTAATAAACTTTACTCAGCATTCAAAGTATTTTAAACTGCTGTTATTCTTTCAATAAGCTCTTATTTTTCAGCTTTATTGTTGCAAAAAAATATTGTTCTCAGCTTCTGCAGTGTTGAACCATTGGGTCCTCACTCTCATTTCTGCTGTAAACATTTAGTAATTGCCATAACTAATTTTTCTAGCTCTCTTAAATCATATTATATATGAGGCATTATTTTGAGAAGTGGAAGTTTCCTCAGCAAGTCTGGTGTCTCATTTATCTGGCATGTTTTGTTTAGAAGTCTACTTTGAGTTTTGTTATGGTTTTATATTCAGGTCTCTTCTTCCATAGAGTTTGGAACCGAGTTACACACCAGCTTGTCTTGGTGTTCCAAGAGCTGGATGAGCTGCACTTGGGTGGGGTGCTTTGCAAATTAAAGTTATTCTGCAGTTTTACCTATGTGTATTCCTCACTGATGATTTGTGGCCAGAAAAGCATTTGAGTTGAATTACAAGTGACATGGGAAAGTCTGGCAGAAAATGCTGTGGTTTAACCTCATCAGAGGATACGTGATTCAGAAATCATTAACAAGCTAACAGGGATCCTCAGTTCACATGCTGAGCCCCCATCTTTTTTCTACTGCCCAGGTTATTGGCTGTATTCTACAGAATGCTGAGGAAACCCAAAATGTCCCAAATAAGGAGTGCCTTTGAGAGGGCAGCGGGTGAAGAGTGTGTCCATCTCCAGCCTCCCTCTACCATGTGTCCTCCTTGCATGTGGGTGGGTCCATCCACAGTGTGGAAAAGGAGCCAGAATTTACCTTGTCATGGTTTTGCCATCACCCAGAGATGTTATCAGGGCTTCCCTGGGAAGTGACATGGTTGTGTGAGTGTGATCCTGCCCAAAGACTGAGTCTATAGGCTCCATAAAAACTGGTCTTGGGCAGATTTTTTAAATGCTTTGCTATGTCCCATGGGGGATGCTTTTTGAAGACACTTTTTGGATTTTAAGGCTTGGGACAATGATGATTAGAGGTGAGACAAATGAGCCCAGCCCTTCTGGTTTGCTAGTTTGTTCCTCATCCCAGACATTCATGGGCAGGAGTTCTCACCTCTCCTTTAAGCTGTGGATGAGGGAAAGATGGAAAACCATAGAATTCTAGAATGTATTGGGCTGGAAGGGGCCTCCAAAGGTCATCTAGTCCAACCCCCCTGCCATAAGCAGGGACATCTCCAACTAGGTCAAGCTGCTCAGAGCCTCATCAAGCCTGACCTTGAATGTCTCCAGGATTGAGGCCTCCACCACTTCTCTGGGCAACCCATTCCAGTGGTCTAGCACCTCACGTTAAAGAACTTTTTCCTAACATCTGGCCTCAATCTCCCCTTTTCTAGCTTAAAGCCATTACCCCTCATCCTGTCAGGACCTCCAGCTTTACTGACCCCCAGGAAATTGTCCCTCGTAGGTGGTCAGACAGGAGCCAGGATTGTGCTGTGGGTGGAGCTCGTGGTTTGTGCAGCAGCAGTGTATGATTTCCTCTCCTGTTGCTCTGACACAGGCTGAGTTATCATGGTTCCTTGCTGCTACCACTCACAGGTGTCTGTTTGAGAGCTGAGACTTTGAAAATACCAATCTTACAAATGGGTCTGAGCGAATGCAGCATTTACCTCTGTAAACGATGGAGCTGAAGGCACGCCTGTGATCTTGTTTTGATTAATGCCACTTTGACATCTCTGCTTAAATATACATCCCAGTGTCTAATGATTCTCTCCTGAACCCCCAGAAGCAGCTCAGCAGGAGCGACTCGGACGAGAGGCGAGCAGTTGTTCTCTGTGGGGGTAAACTCCGCCTGGCCACGGTCCAGCAGATCTTCAGCCTCTCTCTGGTGGAAATGCAGCACGGTAGGTAGCAGTCACCCAGCCACACCAACACTGCACACACAGGCAGCATTCTCAGTGAGCAGCAATGTGCTTCATCCCATCTGGGAAAAAAAACAAGGAGCAAGGAGGAAAGATTATTAATAAAGCTTGCTCATGTGTTTTAGAACACCAAGATTCTAAATCAGTGCTTCTCATTTCATTTTTTTTTTCTGTGGAGGAAACTGCTGTTCTCTGCTGTTACCTCCTCATCTCGAGCACATCCTGCTTGTGTACATGTCAATTCTAAGGGCCTTACTTTGGGCAAGGTAGCAGAAAGACTTTGGGGTAGAACCCCACAGCAGGTGATGTACCCAGTGATAACAGCAGGCAGTTTTGTAGGTAACGTTCTCTTAATTTTTCAGACTGGAATTTTACCTTGAGCTCTCACACTTGAGCAACTTCTCTTCTCTGGCAAGAAAAATGTCCCTGTTACCTCCATTAGTTTTGACTTTTCATTTGTAGCTTAAAAATGTAAACTTAACAGAACTGGTTGCCCAGGAGTGAATAATCATTATGTCTGTGAACAGCCTTCCTAGATAAATTTTAAAAGCAAATGGTGTTACCATGAGAGTGGTGAGACCCTGGAATGGGTTGCCCAGGGAGGTGGTTGAGGCCCCATCCCTGGGGGTCTTTAAGGCCAGGCTGGAGGAGGCTCTGGGCAGCCTGATCTAGTGGGAGGTGTCCCTGCTCATGGCAGAGGGGTTGGAACTGGGGGATCCTTGTGGTCCCTTCCAACCCTGACAGATTCTGATCTGTTTTGGCAGAGGACTTTAGAGCCCTAATGGCTCAATGGTTGGACTTGATGATCTTGGAGGTCCCTTCCAACCTAAAGGATTCTATGATTCTACTATAGGTTTCTTTATTAATTTTACAAATATTAGTAGAGAAATGGGCAAAGTGGGAATGGTATCTTTCAAATTCCTGAATAGTACTGATTGTAAAGTTTGGTCCAAAGGAGATACTAAGCTCAAAGATTAAAGGGTTGCATGCTTTTAAGCTACAATCTTCTCCTGACCTTACTTGTGACATGAAGTTACATAATATAAATTTAGAAACAGCTGGAAATATTTCCCTGAATTCCCTCACTCCCCATGAGCTCTGTTCTATTTCTTCTTCAACTGAAGGGATATAAGTATGAAAAATTTCTGGTTCATATGGATTAATAGAAGTCAATCAGTGTTTTTGGATTCAGTAAATGATTTCAGAATGTAGAAATAATACTGATGATGATGTGAAGTCAAAGAGCAAATGGAGCAGAGACATGGGGTTTATACAGTGCAGTACAATATTTCTTACTTGTATTTATTTGGATTAATTATATTGAAATTACATAATACAAGCTGTTTCTAAATTATTTTATGATACTAATTTGTCATGTAATAAATTTCTGCTTTTTACAGTATCTGCACTACAGCTTAAGCACTGTTGAGTAGCTTATGCATACTGAGTTAAAACCAAGCCTGGAGGCATGAGTTCTGTTCAGAATTTCCTTCTTCCTCCTCATCTGAAGCGTGCATTCTTTACAGCCTTGTCTCCGTGTTGCTGATGCTGCCTCTGACCATCCTCTGCTCTTAACTCTTTTGGCTTTC